AATCATTACTTGTGCTATAATTCATCCTTAAAATTTTTTAAAAATTTGACAAAAAAATTGTTGCCCGGATACTTTTGACAGGTTGGTGTATATGACTAATAAATCTCCGATAAGTGTCCGATATTAGGGAATAAGATGACACTTATCAGGTACCCGATATATGTCAAAAAATATATATCGGATACCTATTAGATACCATGATAAGTGCCCAATAGGTATTCGATATGCCAGATTTTGACCAGTGATACTTAATTAGTAATAAATTCTTTTATAATTATTCACATCAAATATCAATTTCAATAACCTGTGATCTAATTTTGGCGATTTATAGCTCATTCGATTCTCCTCACCGAGGCAAATATTTTAGTAGTTGTTTCATCCAAATTGGACATCTCTACGCCATATTATTAAATAAATAAAAAAAGAAATGTGGAAAAATTAAGGTAGATTTAAATAAATTTGTGAAATGGAAGATTTATTTTTTTTTATTTTAGATACAGATAGAAAGAATAATCTGCAAATTGAAGAAGTAATCCGCAGATTGAAAAAATAATTCGGATTAATTCAATCCATAGATTTAACATATAATCCAAATTATTCGAATTATTTTTTTTTTAATCTAGATCTTTTAAACTTTAAAAAGTGATCTATCAATTTGTGTTACCACAGATAATCTGTCAGATTGGTGAATTGGTCATCCACAGATCAAATCTCTAATCTACAAATTGAAAGAGTAATCTATGAATTGAAAGAGTAATCTAAGGATTGAAAGAATAATTCAGATTAAATCCTTTGATCTACGAATTAATCTTTTAATTCACGGATTGATATATATAATTCGAATTATCTAGATTATTTTTTTTAAATTCAGATTATATAAATTTTTAAAAAGTAATCTGACAATTTGTAATATTATGGATAATCCATTAGATTGACAGATTGGTCATTCACGGATCACATCTCTAGTGCACAATAAGGTACAATAGGCACAGTAATGGTACAGTAATGAAGATCACTAGATTTAGATATAAAAGGGAACTGAAATTATCTTGCTCCTCTCTAGTTTACAATTTTATAATTTTGAATTTTGATAATTTGTAACTTATTTAAAATTGATAAATTTAATTTTATAATTTGTAACTCCAAGATAAGTACTTATAAAAATTACCTTACAATAGAATTAATAAATATAAATTATGAAAATAATTGTTAAAAGATATAAATATATAGTCAACAAAGGAATAATAGATGTTATAGGATTAAATACTTGGTTGTATAATTGTATAATGTCATTATTCCTGAGTTAATGAAATTAATTATAAACTATTATTATAAATTCTGAATTTAAAATAATAATTAACCTAAATAATTGGAAATAATATTTAAAGTTGATAAAATTAAATATTAATATTAAGGATGATGATAAACTTAAAAAGATATTGGGATAAATTGGATGAAAGGTCTGATTTCCTTTCTAAAATAATTGAATCAGTAGTACCTTCTAAAATAATGAAACAACAGTCTTACCTTTGGGAAAGGACTATAAACTCCTTAAAAGAACCATTAAGTCACTCTACTAGGTGGTTCTTGAGAAAATCAAGGATCACTGGTAACAGCATCACCACAAAATAAAAATAATTTATTTTTGAATTTTTTGATCCAATTTTTTGATTGGTTGCCATCATATTTATTTTTCATATCACATATATCACATAAAATTAAATATGTAATAAAATCAAATGGAGTCATATGTTTTCTGGTAATACTGGGTAGCTATTATCTAATATATAGATCTATGATAAGATAAGATAGATAAGATGAGTGAGTCATCACCAGTTTAAATAAAATAAAATTTTTTTTTTTAAAACCGGAAAGTTTTCAACAAATATGTCAGACGCTGAAAATGATAATCAAAATGATCAAAAAAATTTGGAAGAAGGGAAATCGGAAGAAGTAAGCCATACGTATACGTACATTATATATATATAAGTAAAATATTGTAAAATATATATTAATTAAATTTATGAATATATTTATAAAGCTTCTATTCGATCCTTCTTTAAAAAAGAAAAAGAAAAAGAAAAATAAAGTGGTATTTGAAGATGAAGTAGAACAAAGAGCGGATATTGAATTTCAAGTCGAGGATCTGAGTGACTATCCAGGTAGAATAGTTTTTGATTGATATATTGATGTAAAAGAAGAAAGCAAAAAAGAGAACAAAAAGATATCACAAAGATAACAATATATAAATAAATAAATTTCTGTATATATAAATAATATAGTACCAGTCCCACCAGTTGAGGAAAATAATGAAAATAATGAAACTGAAGAAAATAACGATGATGATGAAATGTCTATATTTGCAGATACGAAGAAAAAGAAGAAAAAGAAGAAGGAAATTATTGACGTAATATTAAATTTTTTATATAATTTTATATAACTTCAAGACGAAGAAAATAAATAAATAAATGAATGAATGAATGAATAAATAAATAAATAAATAAATAAATATATATTTTTAATAGAAAGAAATAGAAGAAGAAGAACCAACTGAAACTACCGATTTTGCAGATTTACCTAGAATGAAAAAAAAGAAAAAGAAAACCATGACAGAATTTATAGCGCAATTAAATGATGGAGTAGAAGATGCAACACGAACAGAAGATGACGTATTTGCAACAGATGGAGAACATGTTGATAAAGAAACAAAAGTTGAAGATGCTTGGCTTAATTCCGATCGAGATTATACATATCCAGAAGTAATAATTTATAGTCAATTAATCATAATAATAAACAATTTATATAATAAACAATTTATCATAATGTAATAATATTATAGCTTTTAGGGCGAGTTTTTCATATCCTTCGTCAAAATAATCCGGAACTTGCAGGAGAAAAGAGAAGATATACAATTGTTCCACCAGCAGTTCATCGGGAAGGAAATAAAAAGACAATCTTTGCGAATGTTGCTGATATTTGCAAGAGGTAATTAACTGTAATAATTTTATAACTAATAATTAATAATTAATAACTAATAATTATAATCGATAATTATAATCGATAATTATAATCGATAATTATAATCGATAATTATAATCGATAATTATAATTAATTTATATATAATAGAATGCACAGACAACCCGAGCATGTTATTCAATTCTTGTTTGCAGAATTAGGTACAAGTGGGTCAATCGATGGAGCACAGAGGCTTATTATTAAAGGAAGATTTCAACAAAAACAACTTGAAAATGTTTTACGAAGATATATAGGTAAATAAACTATAATTATGATCATCATTATCAATCAATTATAATAATTATAATCATATTTATTAGTCGAATATGTTACGTGTAAAACTTGTAAATCACCCGATACGATCTTAACAAAAGAAAGCCGTATTTTTTTCCAACAATGTGAAAGTTGTGGATCTACACGATCAGTTTCTGCGATTAAAACTGGTATATTTTTATATATTTTTAATATTAATTTATATAATAATTATTATTTTTCATTTTTTTAATAACAACAACAATAACAATAATAACAATAAAAAACAGGTTTCAAAGCGCAAACAGAAAAGAGAGCTGCACAAAGAAGAGCTGCTGCTGTATAATATAAAAATAAAAATAAAAATAAAAATTATTCGAGATCTCTCAATTAATTTAAATCACATTATTTATTAATTTTGGCAAAAGTATTTTTTTTTTGCGATCCAAGAAAAAAAGAAAAGCATATGTATATACTTATCATATTCTTATCACATTCATATCATATTCTTATCATATATATCCTTATCATATTAAGGATTAGAAAAAAAAAGCTGCCACTTATCACATAAAATTATCAAATAAAATGGTTTAATATTTAATTTATTAAAGATATAAAGTTTATATTATTTAATATTATTGTTATCATTATTATTATTACTTAATATCACCAAAATATCATTTAAATTCACTTAACGTGACTCCAATTAAATATTCTCACAATGTTATCTAGCAGGAGTACCACTATTACTACTATCACCTCCGTAACCAATAGAAGGGGTACTTCTATTTATACCATTACCCATAAAATTATCATTACCACCAGTTCCATTACTTTTTCTTTGAGCCATCTTTTTTTTAATAAAAGCTCTAACATGTTCATGACCTGCTTCAGTTACTCCAAACATTTTTTTTGATTCATTTGACCAAACAACCACTCCTAATTTTGTTGCATGTTTTAAAATCATTTCATAATCTGACCACGTTTTAAAATCTTTGTATAAGTAGCCTATAAGAATTAATAAGAATTAATAATTAATAAGATTAATAATAATAATAATGATAATAATGGATAATAATAATAATAATAATAATTAATAATAATAATAATAATAATTAATAATAATTATTAATAACTATTAATATTATTATTATCAAAATATTAAATATCAATTATCATGAATACATACATTCTTGTACAACCAATCGATTTCTTTCCATTTCCCATAATTGTATTTGATCTTTAACAGTTGATGGAAGTAAAGATGGTCGTTTTTTCATTTGAGGATGAGAATGTGCTGTTAAATACGAAATTATCTAAAAAATAAAAAATATAAAAATAATTAAATATAAAGCGATATAAATAAAAACACTCTAAAATATTATAATATATACACCTGTTGTGCAGTAATTCCTTTTTTCAAAGCATTTCTAACGCTATCACGTGTAATTGTTGCAGTAACCATATTGGAAAATCTAAATTGTAATTCACTAAATAGATTTAATACCGAAATTTGTAATTGTGATTCTATAATAAATAATAAATAATAGATAATAATTAATAATATAATAATATAATAATTAATAATATTATAAATATAAATATAAATACAAATATAAATATAAATATAAATATAAATATAAATATAAATATAATACAATATAATATAATATAAAATATAATATAATATGATTACTTGTATAAGCATATAATTTATAATTAGTTTCAATAATTATGAATCCTTGTTCAGTAGCAGAATCTTCACCAGCATCTGTATTATCAATGTTTACATTACTCGATACTGTAGCTGCATTTCCTGAAGTTAAAGTTGTTGCAAGTCTTGTAGGATAATATCTTGTTGATCCTTTCTATATTAATAGATACCAAAAAAATATTAATAAATAAATAAATAAATAAATAAATAAATAAATATATATCAAAAAATATTAATAATTAATTAATTATTTATTTATTAATATTTATTAATAATAATAAATCAATAATATATCAATAAATATTAATATATGAATTTACTTTACGACGATAAGCAAGACCATAATTTTCTAGATCATCAAGTAATTGTCGTTGAGTAGGTGTTAATCCTTCAACCGAATAATCCTAACAAATATTAATATTTAATAATATTTAACAATATGAACAATGATTAAGTGAAAGTGAATCAACTCTCACCTGACCCAATTCCAAACTTCCCAACATGAAAAAGAAATTTAATACTTCCACTACATTCATATTTAACATCTAAATTGAAATAATTAAAATAAACTAAAGTAATTGAAGTAATTGAAATAATTGAAATAATTGAAATGATTGAAATAATTGAAATAATTGAAATGATTGGAATAAATTGAAATAATTGGAATAATGGATAATTAATAAAATATATTACCACACCGGCTATATCTAAATATTGAATTAAAATAGCCCACACTTGAGTATTGACATCTTGTAATAAGAATTGAAATCCTTTATTCGTTATTTCATATTTCCCTCCACCACTAAATATAATATAAATATGATATATAAATATAATATATAAAATGTAAATATAATATAAATGTAAATATATAAATATATAAATGTAATATAAATTTACTTACATATCTCTCATTAAATTTGCTTTAGTTACAACTTCCAATACTGATGCACTTGGAACATTACTTTTCTCTGTTCCAACCATAAAATGTAAAATATTTTCCCATTTCTCTATGGCATATTGATCTAATAAACTTATATCTAATGGTTTACTCTTATGTTTTTCTAATGGAATTCCAAAACTTTGACGTGATCCACTAAAAATAATAATGAAATAATAATAATAATAATAATAATAATAATAATAATAATAATAATAATAATAATAATATATAATTTATTTAAATATATAATACAATTATATAATAAATATAAATATATTTAAATTTAGATTTATTTATTTATTTCATTTACCATCCTGTTAAACAATCTTGAAAACTATATCGAAATGATTCATTCAAAGTTAATTTTTCATTTTGTTCAATCATTTGTAATTTTGTTAATTTATCAAATGCTTCATCAAATTTACTATAATAAAATCAATTAATAATATAATAATATTAATAATTTATAATAATAATAAATAATAATAAAAATAATAAAAATAAATAAATAAATAAATAAATAAATAAATAAATAATAATAATAATAATAATAATAATATTAATATTAATAATAATAATATTATTATTAATACATACTCCAAAGATTCTTTATCATTTTTAATCCATTTTATTAAATCATTTTTACTTATTCCTTCTTTATCAAAAAGTAATGACATCACTAATTGTCTTGCTATTGATGGTAAAAGTCTATAAAGGAATAAATGTCAATAAATAAATAAATATAAATAAATAAATAAATAAAATATAAATAAAATTTAATTATTTTGTATAATTATGATAATTAAAATAATTTCTTTATTTTCTATTATATTATTTACAAAATATCTCATCCACAAAAATATCTTCATCCATACATAATATCCATTCACGATTCCATTAAAATCCAAAGATCTAATTAATTCTAATTTAATTTTAAATTATTCTAAATAATTCTAAAAAATTATTTTACCTAAATATTGCCAAACATGTTGCAGGTTCTTCATATAATTTTTCTAATGTTGTTTTTGGTAATGCTTCTAAATAGTCATATATGTTTGTTTTAAAATGTGAAACTATTCTTGTTGGCATTTTTATTGTTATTATTATTATTATTAATATTTCTACTACTACTATTATTATTATTATTGCTTTATTGAATATTTAGATTTGAATATAGAACACTGACTGCGAGATTTTAAAAAGGGGGAAGATCTAACTATCTTTTTATTAACGGTTTTGTATGTTACATAACAGTCATAAAATTTATACAGGACGTGAAAAAATTCCAAATGGACACAAAATTAAAAAGTGGTCAGATGTCTAGATAAAACTTGTAGAATTCGTACAAACTTTCTATTTAAAGTTAAAAACATGAAATAATTCCAGTTGTACAAATGGAATTTACAAAAAACTTCGAAACTCAAAATACATATTTAACTGAATTCTGACGAAGAATGTGAACTTCCAGAGTTAGAATTATTTGAATATAGAAGATAATTATATTAAAGCATTAATAACACTTGAAAAAAAGACCATAGAACAATCTAATAATGAAAGTGAAGATTTAGAATCCGATTTTGAAATTCAGGAAATTCCTCTAATTAAAGAATCCGTTGAAAAAAATGAACCAGCATTTAAACTTGATCCTACTTTAAACTATAAATAATAAAAACATTTGTTAGTTAATTAAAATTTGGAAAATTGATGAAAGCGTATTAGAATTCCTTTGGGTTTGTATAAATCTTTTTAACAATGATCGAAAGAATGTAAAACAATTACGAAAACTTGAAGTGAAATTCATAATTAACGATGTTTATTATTCGTCTATTTCTTTAGTCAAGGAATTGGATACAAAGATCATTTATAGAAAATATGGGGGGAAAATATTCAAATTCCATGTATCAAGATTTGTGGAGTTGTTTCTTTTTGGAGAAACGAATGAATTTTTGAAATTATGACAAGCAAGTTAACCACAAGTAAGTATTTAAGATTTTACATGCGGAAAAAGGATTTTAAAGTTTTATTGCTCTTTATTTCTTTTTCGAAATAATACAATCAATTTCTTCAGTAATATAATTAATTATTTGTTTGCATTTTTTTTATGTACTTTATGTGTTAAGGTGTAATTATACATTATTGTATGTATATTTATGTAATTATATTAATAGAGTAATAGTAATAGATAGAATATATATATATTATTATATTATTAATTTAGGATTGGCACCATTCTTATTTTCATTATTAGTTCTTCAATCACATAGTTTAGATGGTAAATATATTATTTATTATGATGATAGATGACATATCAAAATAACATTACTAAAAATTACATTACAATTACTCAACAAAATATTTTATGGTGGTCATTAACTGGATTGATAACTGGATTATTTGATGCATTAACTTTACATATAACTCATCAATCATTATCAGAATTACCAGCATTATCAGCATCACAGAATTATCAGAATTATCAGCATTATCAGCATTACCAACATCATATAAAAGTACCCAAATATGATAATTTTAATAATTTTAATTATATTTAATTATAATCTGAAGAATTATAATAATCAGAAGAATAATTATAAAATCTTTGGTGAAAAATTAAGGAGAATACCAAGAAGAACAGTATTGGGATTCAAAGAAATGTTCATTAATTCTTTTGGTTACATTATTATTTTTATTATTTTTATTAATAGGAAACTTTTATTATACTCGACCACATTTAAGCCACATTAAATAAAGTTAATCAAGGTGATCAATTTTTACTTTCATTCTTAGTAATGACAGCCCCAAGACGAGAAGATCTTAATTTTTTTTATTAAGAGCAATTGATTCATATTTTTAAGTAATTTTTCGGATAAACCGGAAATGAATTTATTTTATACTCGAACTCAGATGGATCAATTATACCCATTTCAGTAATCACATAATGTTTGATCAAGTAAGAGCTATTTACATTAATAACTTTAAAGCTCCAAATTATTTAAGATTTGATAGAGAAGAAGGATCAAAAATAAATCAAAGATTACATGTATCAAAAGGTTTAAGATTAGTGGAAGAAACTTTTTAAACGACTTATATTGCTTTGATAGAAGATGATTTTCCATTATGTGATAATAAATGGCAAAAATTTTTATATAATGCTAATGTTAAAGTACCATAACATTGTGGAACTGGTGGAAGGTAAATAATAATAGGTTTATTATTATTTTTTATAAAAATTTGTTAATTTCGTCTTGAGAAAATTATTAATTAATTTACAAAACATTTGATAACATTCAATAGTAGTCTCTTGATGAAAAATCACAAGGCAATTTTGGCATCGGATCTTTTATACAAGATAAAGATACATTACTAGATAACATATTACAAAATTGTTTATTGGTTTAATCTAAAGGATGTGAAGAATGTTGAAGAATGTTACAAACATTAGTAACATTTAAAATATTATTAATATATCATTTGGGGTTGTAACACTTCAACTAGTGACGATCGAACTTATCTTAAAAAAGATTTTCAATGTGGTTGGCGTTATCTATTTGTTATTTATTTTTATTTTTATTTTAAATTTATTTTATTTTATTTTATTTTATTTTACTTTTATTTATTTAAATTAACTTTAAATTCTTTTCTCTTTTCTTTTACCTTTTTCTTTAAAGAATGGTGATCCAAATGTAATAACGATTTGAGGAATAGATAACAATAAATTTATACGAGATTAAATTAGATTTGATTTAAAATAATAATAATAATAGTAATAATAATAATAACAACAATTATAATAATAGTAATACTATTTTTTTTGTCCTAAAGTTTTTTGTTGGGAAATTTAATTTATTATTACCTGGAAAGAAAGATTGTATTATTATTATAATTGTTATTATTATTATTACCACTACTATTATTATTATTATATATATATATATATATATATTTTAAAAAAAAATAAAAATAAAAATCATTGTAAAGTTTTTCATCTTCTCAATACTTCTCTTTCATCCAGAATGAGTTTTTTTTTCAAATTTATTCTTTATAATATTCATAAAATTCAAAAGATTCATAATATCGAATATTATGAAAATCAATTTCTTTATTCGGTTAATACACATAAAAAAACATATAAATAAAATAATTAAATCAATTTTTCTTTAAGATGTCATCTTTTCCTTTTCCAATTTATATTTCTACTGATAATAATAATAATAATAATAATAATCATATTAATTCATTTACTAAAATTCATGATGAATTATTGGGTACTTTTGTTACTATAAAATTATTATCCGAAGAAAATGAAGAAGATATATTACAAGGATATTTATATAACATAGATCCCATATCTTTTACTACAATTTTAATGCAGGTACGTATTATATGTTGTGTATATGGGGAGGGGGCGGGGTTGTAAACGTAATTAAAATTAATTTTATATTAAAAATAAAGATTGAAAATGATGAGAATGATAAAAATAATAAAGATGATAATATTATTATTCAAGAAAATACAAATTTTAAAGTTTTGGTTATAATGAGACAAATTATTTCAGAAATTGAAGGTAATGAAAAATTAAAAATGTAATAAAAATTTTTAATTACAACAAATCATATATTTAATAATTATTAAATAATCATGTTGACAATAGTGAATGATGATAAGATGAAAATATCAAGAAATATTTTAGATTCGTTATTCAACAGTAAAAATCTTCAAGATTATTCAATTGATTCTGAAAAAGTACAAAAAAGAAAAGACAATTTGGTTTATTTAATTGCATCGGTACAAAAAATTATATTTTTATTATTAACATTAATTATATTTTATGTTAATATCAATTATATTTTATATTAACATCAATTATATTTTATATTAACATCAATTATATATTATTATTTTAGCAAAGAATTCCTGTGACGCAAAATGACGAAGATTCAATTATTCATATAATGGATTGTTTACATATTTCACCTCCTTATGTGAATACTACAATTGAATGTGATAATGAAATAGTTACAAAGAGAGTAAAAGATATGCTTGCTCAATTACCTGAATTTGATTAAAAATTTCATTTGCTTTGTTTTGTTTGTTAAAATAAAATTATGAAATGAAAATACCCGTTTGTGATTACATATATCTATAATGTTATCGTAGTTATCGTAATACAACCATAATTTTTTAAAAAAAAATGTAGCGGAAGAAGTGGAGACACAAAGGAAATTATTCATTTTTTTTTCCTTGTGCACTATGAATCCCTTCTTTATTATATCTGAAACTTCTAAATGGAAAACCAAAAATCAAAGAAACAAAACGTTTCATATAGAAATTTGTTGTTTTCTCATGAAAATTAGAAAACTTTTTCCGAATGATAGAGTTAAAGAATGTTAATATTTATTAGATCAACTTTGGGTTTTTTATAGATTTTTCTCTTTCTCTGAGTCATCATCTCATAATATGAATAATTTTTATTTTATGTTGTATCTCCGAATTTTTATTATTGTCACATGTTAATCTTAGGTTTATTGTATAGATTCTTATCCGTATCAATTATTGTGTAACCACCTTAACGCATTGATTATTTATTACCTTGTATCACACCCTTCGAATATCGATTTTTATTAAATATCCTAGGGACTTGGACATGTGGAAACCACATTTGTCACCCAATATTTGTCACCTAAAATCTGTCACATGAATTAAACACGTGTAATCCTTATGATCACCTGTTAAATTATGGACCAATAAAATTCGGGGGGACATAGTATAAGAATCTATACCAGGATAAAATTCTATACCAGGGGCATAGGATAAGGGTCCTCTTTAAATAATTTTTGTCCCAATATTGTCCCAAATGTGTCCCTTGACAACACTGACTTCAAGTATACCAAAGTATAGACAGAAGAAATTCCGTAAATGGAACTGTTCGCTGTCATTATGCATGCCTATTGATAAAAAAAAAAAATTATTTTGATATATTTCAATTCAATAATGGTAAAAATTGGAATTTTTTAGGTGGAATATGTTTCGCCACGTCATTGCTTAACAATTTTTAAATCATTCATCTCTGAATCCTTTAGATAAATATATTATTGCAACGTGAATCGTACTTTGTTCTCTACGTGTTTAAGAATAAAAAATCTGTAATTTAAAATAAAAGTAGTGACCACCGAAATGTGACCTTTTTAACAAAAGAGTCAAATAAATAACTAAACGGATGCTCTGAGCGATATCCTCGTACACTTCAACTTTTTTTTTTATTTAACTAATTTTATTTTGGTGACGCGTCACGTTTAATTATTTTTTATGTTAATATATCATATGTTAGATATGTATAATAAATATCTAATCAACAATACAATCAATATATTTTAAAATTAAGCATTACTATATATATATATATGTTGTGCCTCAGATCATTCTTGACTCAAATTAAAACTGGCCAATGGTTGACACCTGAGGTGCCTCAGTCGCGATGAGGTACAACATATATATATATATATGAATGTTATATCATTACAAATTTTTTTGTGACTTATACGTTGATAAGGTATGAGCAGCTGCGCGTATTTTTGGATCATAATGATTCTAATAACGAAATATAATGAGATATAATGAGATGATAATTAGAATTTAATTAGAATTTAAAATAATATGTAAAAATAATGTAAAATAATATGTAAAATAATATAAAAATAATATGTAAAAATAATATAAAAATAATGTAAAAATAATGTAATGTAAAATTACCTCTAATAAATTTAATTCCCATAAACTGGTTGCGAAAGGATTACATAACTCTGGATCATCTAATTCTGGACGATATATACCATTATATGCTCTATCATCTGAAGTTAATAACGCTTCTAATTTGGATTGTCGCTACAATAATGAATAAATAAATGTGATGTAATAAATGTGATATAATAATATAGAGAATAAATATATAATAATTTACCTGAATCATTTTTTCAATTTTTTCTAAACAAGATAATACAGTTTTATTTGGCCAATTTAAACAAGATATCGACAATCTTTTTAAAAATGCAGCTGATCTTTCAATAGGTATCTTTTTTTTTTAAATATAAGTTTAGTAAATAATAAATAAATAAATAAATAATAAATTAAATTAAATTAAATAAATGATAAATTTTAATTAAATAACAATAAATAATAATAATATTAATAATTAAATATACCGTTCTTCGCTTAAAAAACATGAAATCAAATCCTTTCATTAATAATTGATGTTCAGTTGTCACGCTATGAGAATTATTATATTTAATTTCTCCTTCGTCATTATTATTATTCTTCTTCTTTTTATTATTATTCTGATTATTATCATTATTCCGTTTTCTTTCCTTTTCATTTTTTTCCATATTTGAATTTAAAGCAAGTTGAATTAAGATTTTATAAAAGTGTGTATAAAAATCTTTTAAGTCAATATTAAGTGCTTCTCCTATCAAATAAATTAAATAAGTTATAATAAAAATAATTTAAATGATTTACAATATAACAAATTAATAATTCAAATAATATATAAAAATTTTACCTTGACCAGATAATAATTGAAATGCCGTTATTACACATAATAGACTGCATTTAATATCTAATCTTTGAGATAAATCATTATCATCATTCTTAATATTCGAATTCTCAATTAAAGTATTAGTATTATTACTATTATGAACCATAATCTTCTTAAGTACTTCTAACAAATCATTAAAAAAGTCTACATTGATAAGGTGCGCATATCTACAAAAATATAAAAATATAATTATTTGAATAAATATATGAATAAATATAAATATATATGATATGAATATATGAATAAATATATGACCAAATATAAATAAATATATGACCAAATATAAATATAAATATATAAATAAATATACAACTTTGTTAACCCTTCTAATACAGATAATAATAATGGTGATGTTTTGGCATATTTCAATATTCTAAAATATGTGGTGAATACTAATTTCAATGTTTCTGTATGCTGATTAAAAAACATCAAAGTTAACAATTAATAACAATTCATAAAAAAATTCATAATAACTATATAATGACAAATCAACTTACGGTTTTCTCTCTTTCTTCTTTATCCACAACTGCCTCAGCCTCTTTCATTTCATTCTCTATTATTTTACGTTCTTTTTCCAATTTTTTCATTTTTCTTGTCAAATGTTTAACTGGTTCATGCTTATCTCGTTTTCGTTTTATTCCTTTGATTTTATTATTAGAGTTTTCACTATTTGATTTTTGTTTAATATCTAGTTCATCTCTTAATCGAAGATGTAAAAATGTGTTTAATACCTAAAAATAAATTGTAATGTTATAGAATAAATCATAATAATTATAGATTAAACTATGATAATTATAATAATATACTATGGGAAAATCTTGTTTACCTCTTCGTGAACATTATATTTTTTTGATTTAATCATCTTTGTTATTAATTTAACTGCATCTAAACTTGCCTCGCCTGATTCATCTTCTTTAAATACTTTGATAATGGCATTACAACACATTGCAGACATCTTAAGAAGAATAATAAATAAATAAATAATAATAAATGTTAATATTTTTATCTTATTATTATTATTTATTTTTAATAATAAATTTCATATTAACCTTTGTAAATCTGTTAATACTCATCCTTTGTACAATAACCATCATTAAATTTATTCGAAAATTAAAATGTGTGACTGATGTCAAAAGATCACATACACATTGAAGTGCTACCTCCGCACATGATTTATCTAAATTATTATTTATTAGTATATAATATTACTACATTATATGTAATTACATATTATTAATTTCTTGGAAGATGAAGATAATGTTAAAGGTCACACCTTCCAATGCAGCTTCGAGTGATCTTAAATATTCTTGATAGTTTACAAGTAAACTTTGCTCAAAATGACGAATTTTCTTAATCTCTTTGGATACCTTATTATTATTATTATTATTATTATTATTATTATTATTATAAAAAAAAGGATAATAATTTAATAAATAAAATTATAAAATTACCTGAACAACTTTTTCTTTATCTGATAATAAACGAATTCGATAACTGAATAATAAAAAAATTTTGTTTAAAATTTCGTTTTAAATTTATGTTATAAATATATAATAATAATAAATATTAAAAACTTGCCCAGGTAAAATATCTTTATATACTACAAATTGTGTTAACAAAGCCAATTTTTTTATTGTCAAGTTTTCATCTTTAGCAAATTCTCTTAAATATTTAAGTTGTCCAATCTAATTAATATATATATATATATAATATATTATAATATATCATAAATATATATTACAATTAAATTAAATTATACAATAAATTACAAATAAACAAATTCAGTAATTATAAATTAAATAAATCATACATTATTTTCAGGATCCTCAGTTATCTTTTGAGATGTTTCTGCTAATTCTTCTTTCTTTTGAATAATATATTGATTAAAATTATTTTCATTATGATTATTATTATTTATACTATTAGTCTTTAATTCTTTTGATTCTTCTTTTTCACTCTCACTTTCATCTTCACTAGATTTATCTGATTCAGAAGATGAATTTGATTCAACTATATTAGGATTTTGTTTTGGTTGTTTGATCTTTCCATCTGGTAATTTAATTGGAAGTTTTGTGAACTTTTGAGTTATCCAATCTTTATTCCTACGAGGTTTTCTTTCATATTCTTGTTCCTCATCAGAATCCAAAATGAAATTTTTAATCTCAACATTTTCATCATCATCATCATTATTATCATCTTCATTATTTTCACCATTATTATTATCATCTTCATTATTATTATCATCTTCATTATTATTATCATCATAATCATTATTATCATCATCATCATTATTATCATTATCATTGTCTTCATCTTCCATTCCAATACTTTTTTCATCATCCTCCATTTCTTCATCTACACCCTCATCTTCACCTTCATCTGAGGAAGAAGAGTCTAAAGATGGCAGAGAATCTTTATCTGTTTCTTTTTTTGTCAACTTATTAATTTTTTCTTTTGTTCCTTTTCTGAATGAATTTTTATTTAAATAAGTAATATTTATTAATTAAAAAAAGTTTTATAAATTTAAAAAGAAATATATATTATTTATACGTTAATTATTCATTTATACTATACTTGTGTAAAGCGACCGAGTTAATGTTTTTCAAGAACTCTGTATACTGACAGTTATTTTTGAAAAATTCAATGCCCTCTTCCGATAATTCAACGTCATCATCGTCGAAATTATTATCAACGATAGGCCTTGTTGTTGTTTCGTTTTTCTAAAAATTAATAAATTTTTTTTTTTTAGAAACATTATAATATAAAACTTTTAAAACACAACATTACATATAGAAACCTTGTTTTTCTTTGAATTATTTTTCGCATTCGTTTTTTTTATTGATTTGGATGAATTATTTGATTTTTTCACTTTGAAGGATTTGTGTGATTTAGATGATGGTTTTTTTGTTTTTGATACTCTCGATGTTTTTAATGATTTCTTTGAAGCCATTTTTGAAGAAAAAAAAAAAGTTAAAGAAATTTTTTTTTTTTAAGATCATAATATTTTACGCAAAATGCTTGTGCAACACAATATGAACTATTATCATCAGTAATTTTTAATAGGTGATGATCAACGGAGGGTTTTTTACATTTTCGCGATTTACTACTAAGATATTTCTAAGATAGAAAGAAATGCCTTATTCTTGGCTACAAAATGACATGTGTTTTATCCTGGCAACATCACTATTCGCCGAATTATTCTTGTTTAAAGAAAAGCGTCCGTGAAAAAATCGCGCGAAAATTTTTCCAGAGATTTTTGCACGATTTTTTATGGACTTTTTCTTTAAACCGGAGTAATTCCGCGAATATTGATATTACCGGGATAAGACACATATTATTTGTAGCTAAAAACAAGGACTTTCTTTCTATCTTAAAAATTCCTTAGTAGAAATCGCGAACGAAGTCAAAAAAAAAACGCAAAAATTTCCGTAAAAAAAATCGGGCGTAAGTATCCCAAGTATCCAAAAGCTTTGATAAGTGGCGGACTGAAAAATAAAGACCGTGGAAATTATTAAAGAATAGAAATCTTTAACTCCTGAAATTATGATTGGTTAACAAATCAACTGGAATTTTTACGTGTCGATTGCATATGACCATTAGTTTGACTCGCAATTCACTGTTAATTAGACTAACATATGTCAGCAATTTATTTTTTTTTTCTGTAAATAACGTCATTCACATCATTCAAACATTATGTTTCGGAGCGAATTATTCTCTACGTTTGATTTAGCAAGGTACAAGCTTCTTGCTATCAAGCGACAAGAAGGAATCGAAGAAGTAAAACGAAAGGGAATTATTGTTGACAAAAAAGTATACATAAAACTTATCTTAAGTTTTGTAAAGGAGAACCAAGCATTTCTGTTAAACACCATTTAATCGACGGAAAAATTGAAGCCTACGAAATGCCTCTCAACCATCATTCACTGGTACAAGGAGAATTGATTTATATAATGAGAAGCTGGAGTAATCAGTTGCTAGCTATGAGTGAAACAGATATTATCGTAAATGCGAATAGTATATACCATTCTGATATTTGTGTTCGACCAATAAATCGCCGACGACTCCACTCGCGCAAGCAGTACACTCGCGCAAGCGCAAGCAGTAAATTCAACGGGAAACCCGCATCCAACTCTGGTGGCGGAAATTGGAAGTACCGAAAGTTTAAATCATATGCATGATAGAGTAGCAAGATATTTTTCCCAACGTACCACCATTCAAATTTATATTGCTATCAAATTATTTCCTAAATGTCGGGGCGAAACTTTTGTGCTTCTTGCATTGCTTTACTTGCGTAGCAATCAAAATCCAACCATACCTTCAATTGCAAGTTCTTTCGGAACAGCAAATCTTCACCCTAGCACACGAACATATCTTCAAAATACTGTACAAGCAACCATTACTGGTGTCGGGTTTGGGGGTTGCTTGTGATGGTGCAAACATTCCTCAATATCAAATAGATATTCCGACTGTATCACTTTTTGATGATGTTCCTGGCAATCCTAGTGGTGTACCCGTTAACTTTCATATAGATCTATGGACATTACAAAACCGCTTTTCAGCGGGTCTATAATTATTTTTTTGATTAATGTTAATTTTAATATATAATTACGTTTTCACAAACCCGATGTAAAAGTAACGAATTATTCATGATGGAACTCTATGTCACATGTATAATAATTTTATTAGAAACGTACGAGACAAATGAATGTAATGTTTTCTGATGATGATACAGGATATTACTATGATTTAAAGTAACGGGAATAAAACAGATAAAGAATCGATTCATTTTGATTTATCATCTTTAGAACCCATTAATATCGTGATTACAAATAAAACATATATAAACATCTTGTGCGAATTTTTTTTTTAGAAATGTAATAAATTATTATTGATCTGTAAATATTATTAATATAAAGGTACAAATCCGATATAAAAATAAACAAATACTTTATTAATTTTTATAATAAACGTTATAACAGATTTCATATGGCGCAGTACAAGCAACAATTATCGATGCTGAAAATGATTTTACACATGATCATATTTTTTTCTCTTTTTTTATAGTGTTGTATCGCTGATATCTTTTGGAAGTTGTTCTCTAACCTCATTATTGATCAGGATAAGAGATGCACGTTTTCGATTTGATTTTTTATAATAATTTAAGCGATCCACTAAACCTTTACCTAAATTATAGTAAGATCATATTACATTCTGGCTCGCGTTATCATTAAGATTTTCGGTCATTATATAAATGGACAGAGATTGATGATGACGAAGTATGTTTCACTAAGAAACTATTTCAATTTATTCATTTGTCCACATATTCGGCCAATCAAAAGTTGAATTATTTTTTAGCTTTAACGTGTTACAATCTGATGTCACATGAAAATAACTTGAATTCTTTCCTTTGATCAAATCCTTTCTTACACTTATGATAATCCATTTTCAGTTATTTCGTTGTTAATAATAATAATAATAATAATAAACTTTAAAAAAATGTCCACCACAAAAATTATTCATTGGTCAATTTCAAAGTATTTTTTAGGAACTCGTCAAATCCATCCTTACGCTCTAATAATCCTGAATCAACCTATTTCACTTTGGGATAAACATTTTCATACCATATGGGAAAATGGTATGCATATACATATACATATATATACATATTTATATTTATATATATGTATGTTAATATCGAAAAAAGAAAAAAGTAGTATCATCATTTGTTTTCCAAATTCCAATTTATCATTGCAAGTTCATCGTCTATTACTTTGTAATAAGCCAACCTAAATATTTGTGCGGATGGCGGTGGAAACCAATTATATGATGCTTTTGAAAAAACTGATAAAAAATTAAGGTAATATATATATATATATATATATATATATTTATCATCATTATTTTTAATTATTATAGTTTTATTATTATTTTTTTTTCTAAATTCAGATATATCCCGCATTTTATTAAAGGTGATTTAGATTCTTTAAGAGATGATGTTCGAAAATTTTACATTTCACGAGTGAGTTCAAAATCTTTTCTCAATAGAGATAATTTAAATGTTAACATGATATATGAGATCTTTAATGTATGTTTGATTTAAAAAAATATCTCTAATTTATTTGTAACTTTAATTATTTGAAAGGGTACAGAAGTTCAACAAGATCCTGATCAAAACACAACGGATTTCATGAAATGTATTGATTTGGTTCGTAAAAAAGAACAGGAATCATCTGAACCATCTTTAAAGGTAATTTAAAAAAAAATTTAAAATTGAATAAAGAAAAAATTGAATTCAAGAAATTCAGAAATATTTATTTATTTTTATTTTATATAAAAATAATTAAAAATTACTAATAATAATTGAATAATAATAATTTTATAATAATAATTTTATATTGAATTTATAAAGTATGAAATAATAGCTTTAGGTGCTTTTGGAGGTAGAGTGGATCAAGCAATGTCAAATATTCATTATTTGTATAAATTAAAGAATGAGAGAAGAATTTATCTTTGGTCAGATAACAATATGACATTCTTACTTGACAAGGTATAAAATTTATTTATTATTATTATTTATTTTTTATTTCTACTATTATAATTTATTTCTACTATTATAATTTTATTAATTTTTTTTTTTTAGGGAAAACATCAAATACAATGTGATTTAAATGTTGAAGGTCCCAATTGTGGAATAATACCTATTGGTATAGAAAGAGCTATTGTTACAACTACTGGATTGGAATGGAATCTTGGTATGTTTACTTATTCCTTTTATTTATTATTTTATTTATTCCTTTTTATTTTCTTCATTCATTCATGATTTTTTATTGAATTGACAAATTTCTTTTTTTTTGTTTATTAATAATAATAATAAAGCTAATAGTCCTACATCATTTGGTGAAATGATTAGTACATCAAATCATCTAATTGATGATGTAATAACAATCGAAACCGATTCTCCTGTTTTATGGACTGTTGAATTGAAAATTTAATTAATCAATTTCTTTTTTTTTTTTATTAAAGATTTTGATATAATAATTTTGTGTATGAATAAATTAATTGATTAATTTAATTAATTAATTATCTAGAGCGTTGCGTTTCATCAACGGGTTTCTATTTAAAAATTATTTATTATTATTATTATTATTATTATGATTACGATTATTGATAATATCAAATTATAAAATTTATAAAAATTTCAATGCGATACATACGAATTCACCTTGTTTTCCCGCTTCCCACTTCGCAAATTTAAGTCCTTGTTCATCTCTTCGTTGTGCTATCAGTCGTAAATCATCTTTAAGTGAATTTCGAACTGCCCGAGCACATATCTGTGTATACTTTAAATAACTATGTCAAAAATAAAATATAAGCTTTCCTACATAATATTTTAAACATTTTCAACATTTTCAGGAATTATTGTTTTATATTACCTCATTCCAGCAGCTTTCCACGCAAAAGTCATCGTTGGAAAAAAAAAAATTACCAATTTTTTTTTTTTTTTCAACTGATTTTTTATATCACGGCAACGATCAAAGGAATTCTAGGTAGTACTATTGTATTTGTATTATTGTGATACGAAAAATATGCTTATAGTAGATCAACGACGCGCGTAAGTGTTGGGACTCGGAACTTCGAGACGGTTTCGCAATTGCTTACTTATAATCTAATTGTTATTCGTATTATCAAAAAAAATAAATAACAAGCATAATAAACAGATAAGCCTTTTTTTTCAAGTTTGCTATTTATAAAGACAGATACATTCTTATTGCCTGAAATAAAATAAAATAAAAATGTAAATGTATTCATTATATAGTTGTACAACCCAAAAGATTTATTATTATCTTATCCCTTTTTTTATTTGATTTTTTTTTGCTTTTGCTTTACTATTTGTTATTAGAAAATTATAAAACGTCACGAACATTTTTCATGCCACTCAAAATTTCTTGACTTACGAATTTTATATATTAATATAGTTCGATAGTCATGATCTTATTTTCTTCTTCTTCTTCTCCTTTATCACCATCTTTTTTTTCGCGTTTTACTACTACTACTGCTACTACTACTGCTGCTACTAGTACTTATCCAAGACTTTATCTTAAAGCCAGTAAAAAACTTCTTCAACCTCAATTCCTTTTACTCATTTTCGCTGTTAGCATTGGTTTATTCATTACTTGTGTCGTCTTAGTCGATTTTCAAGACGATAACGAAGATATTGTTGAAGAAGAGGAAGGGGATGAATAAAACAAAAATGCCAACTTCCTCTAATTATTATTATAATAATAATTATCAAAAAAATATGCCATCAATAATAGAACCGAATAATAGTAATAATATTATTATTACTAATAATAATAATCATAATAATAACAGTAACTCAAAATTAAATTCCTCAAAAGAAATCTGGAAGAATGCTATTAATACTTTATTAACTGCACTTGGTATCGTATAACAATAATTTTTCCTTTGTTTTTTTATAATATATTAAAAAAATAAAATAATAAAAATAATGACTTGATGTATTATTTAAAACTCATAGAAAATATTTTATTGGATAAAAATGGGATGCCGATTAAGTCAAACAGTTCAATTGTAGAAAATGGAACTATTCGAAAGATGATTGAAGGGCAAACTAGCCGCTGTAGGTTATTTATTAATTATTTATTAATGATTATCGTTATAAAAACAGTAAAAAAAAAAAAAAAACGAATACGTATACACACTCACACTTCCTCACATTAAATGATTATTATTATTACTCTCTCTCTCTTTTTTTTTTCTTTTCTTTTCTAGCGGATTCAATGATGGAAGAATTTGAGAGCATTTTTGGTAATTTGTCCCCTCTTAAACGAAAACGTGAAGATGAAATCAATGGACCTAAAAATAAATCTCAAAAAATTTCAAAATGTTTATCTATAAAATTAGCTAAAAGTCTTTCATTATCATCAACTGAAGATAATGAATCAAATAATGATAATAACAATAACAATAATAATAATAATAATAACCACAACAACAACAATAATAATATGGATAATGATAATGAAAATGAATCTTTAAAGATAGAGAACATTAATAATAATAATAATAATAATAATAATAATAATAATAACAGTAATAATCCATTTTTATCTAATGGTTTAAATTTATTTCAACGTAATATTAAACGTTGTTCTTCTCGTCGAACATTTAATGGTAAATATGGTGGTAGTTTTCGAAATCTTTTTGTATCACCATCATCATCATCATCAACAACAAATAATGATACTTTAGATATGGACATTGTTATTACCGATCAGCAACACGCGACGATGACGACGACGGCAACAACAACTTATGAATCTCAACGAATCCAATTATTACATCATATATTGTCTGATCCTCTTCCTAGTGACGAAAATCATCTTAATTATTGGAATAATGTCACAGTCACATTATCAGATTGGATTGAATTACAAGCTCAAAAAAAGAATATGAGTTTATTAGAATTTCAATTTCAATTTCATGAACGATTTTGTCAAATGGAATTATCTCTTGTGAAACTTCATAATAATATACCAAAAGTTTATGATGAAATTAGATGTTCGGTTGACATGTTTTTATTGAATGCTGATTGGCTTAGATGTGACTACTGTAAACCTTTCACGGTAAGTTCATATCATATTCATATTGTTCTTCATGTTCTTTATATTCTTTATATCTTTATATTAATTCATTATCTATATCTTGTATATCTTTATATATTCATTCATTCATTCATTCATTAATTATTTAGCAAATATTTCCTCAATGGCAAACTTTAGGAAGAAATTTGGAAAACTTTGTACAATATGTAGAAATTGTTGAAGACATGAAAGCAATGGTTAGTTCAGAATATTCACAAAGTGGAGATGTCTGTTTAGTTATACAAAAAGCTAAAGAACTTTTAGAATTCAAAAAATCTTTGTATGGAGAAATTTTACAACAAAATGGATTAACATGGAGAAGATTAGGTTTTCCTGTTAGTGATTCATGGTTTTCCACCACAAAACAATGGTTACATGGATTAGCATTTCATTGTTTATCAATTATGAATAACGAATTGAATAAATTTGAACCAACTAATATTGATGACACACGTGTAGCAAAGGTAATGAAAATAATTAAAATAATTATTATACAGTTTGTAAAATTTATTTAATCCTTTATTTATTTATTTATTTATTTATTTATTTACTTATTTATTTAGATTATGGAAAATGTTACAAGTTGTATTAAAATCATTAAAATTATAGTAGAATTAATTGGAACTTCAAACAACAAATTTACATTAACCAGTCTCATCCTTGCGACATCATATGTCGAATGGGGATTATCACAAATTGATAGAATGGAAAATAAAGTTCGATGTGTTGAAATTAGAATGATGCATATTTGTGATAACATTAATCATATCTTACATTATCTACATATTATACAAGATGCCGATGGACAAAATATCATTTTTCCCAGAGAAAATTATAACAATAATAATAATAATAATAACAATAATAATAATAATAATAATAATAATAATAACAATGATGATGATCGTAATAATAATATTTCATCGGCAGAAAATCAACAAAATCTTTTAATAGTTGAAAAATTTTCTGCTGCATTAGTAGAAGCTGGATTAAGATTATGTGAACATATTACAAAACCTAAAATTAATACAGTGACTGGACCTAATAACTTTGTATATATGTATTCCGAATTTGTGGTTAAATTTGTCAATCGGGTAAGAATTTTTTATGTTTCATTCAATTATATTATATTTATTATATTTTTATTTCTCAACTTTTTTTTTCTTATCAAAAAACAGGCACTTGAATATTCTGGTTTAGAAGAAATAGCAGAATTGAGGATGCGACCTTTACTTGCTAGTCTGAGAAATATGGAAAATGCTTAATTAGTTAATTAATTAATTGTTTAAAAAATTTTAAAATTCAAATTATTCTCAGAAGATTTAATCAATTTACAAATTTTGGTCAATAACCAAATGGACAATTAAAATTCTAAAAATAATAAAATAATAATATCTTTAAAATAATAATAATGAACATTATTTTTAAAATAATAATAAGAGAATAGTTATTATTTAAATTGGTGTTAGGATTAATACATATGTGGAAAAGTAACAAAGAGTTTGAAAAATACTTCTCGAATACTGTGTTACATTCTGAACAATAAACCAAATTATACAATAAAGAGAAGTTAACCATTTTTTTTTTTTTTATTAAATTATTTTGTCAGGTGTACTCAATTTATCTTTACTTATCTATAGAAAAGTAAGATACAACTATAGTTTTATGATATGAATATTATGAATATAGAAATTGCAAAGTGAAGTGATTCAGATTTAAACTTTATTATAGAATTTTTTTTTTATTGTTATTAATAACTTTGGCTATTTAATTTTTTGGGCTCCACCATGGTTCACAAATATGTTTCAATTTACAATTGTCAGGTTTATTTCCGTCAGGGAAAATATCATCAAATATATTATGTTTAATTCTATTGGATTCTATGATTCCATTTGTTTTCTCATACATATCCTGTGTAAAATGTGAAAATGTGTAAAATGTGCAAAATGTTTAAAATGTGTAAAATGTTTAAAATGTTAAAATGGATTAGAGATATAAATATTTCTAAAGGTGAACATATTTAATCATATTTAATCATAAACTTACCATAACAAACTCCATAATGTTTATGGCAGGTTTCAATTCCTTGATATGTTGAAGTTCTGTAGGCAATTTAAATTTTGGTCCGGGAAAGACAACATAGTAACCCTCAACTAAACCTTCAACTAACACCTGACCACTTGTACCAGAAAATTGTATGAAGGGCACAAAGATTCCCTCAATCACATTATCATTATCATCAGTCAAGTCGAGATTCAACAAACCGTTTAAAATTGATTGATTAATTCGACCAAAAAGACAACGATCACCTATTATTTTGGATGCTGTGGATGCTGTGGCATTCTCCGAAAAATTCCACTTGCCGATATCTATTCCTGAAGTTGATAAAAAGCGCACATTACATCCACAACCATTTTCATCGTCTGCACTGGGACAATATGAGTCACTCCTTTTTTATTTAACACATATATAAATGATATAAATAACATAGATAATATAGATAATATAGATAATATAGATAATATAGATAATATAGATAATATAGATAGAGGTTATGAGAATGATCTTAATAATAATAATAAATAATTATGAATCTTAAATAATACAAATAATACTCACATCCTGTAATCTGTAATAGAATTAATAGATAATGATAATTAATTAGTGAAAAGTTATTTGATATTAAATGGTTAAATCTCATTTCTAATTTATATACTAACCATCTTTGTTGTATTTTAAGACCTTTCCTTAACGTTTGAATAATATATGAACAGGCATTTATCATTACATCAACCTTCGTGTATGAAGAATCCAACATATTGTCATTCATGCATTTAAAAATACTATTAAATTATTTAAATTATTTAAATTTATAAATTATTAGAATTAAATATATATAATATAATATAAACAATATCAAAAATGTATAATAGAATAAATCACTCACAAATCAGAATATATTTTACTAATCTTATACATGTAACTGTTTTTCTCGGATTTACAATGCTGTTGGATACAACGTTCATATGCAACATCTATTCTTTTTTGATTTATCATCTATAATAAGAATAGTTAATCAATATTAATGTATATAATGTGTATAATGTATATAATGTAGATGACGTATATAATGTATATGACGTATAAAATGTAAATGACGTATAATATGTATAGAACAATCCAAAATTTTTTGAAACAATTACAAACTTTTTCGATTGATTCGGCAAAGGTACTTTCATCAAAATACATTTCAGGAACTTTTAACACAGACTTGTGTTTATTCATGATGAATTTTCTATCTTCGATTGAAAACCATTCCTTCATTTGTGTAGATAAATCAATTATTCGCGATGCTCCATAGCATAATGTTGCTTTTTCTATGGCTGTCATTCTTTTTTTGTTTTCGATTGTCAATGCATTTGCGATTATTTCCTTAACAACAATTTCATTAACATTTTGACCCGAGGGCAAAATCCAGTCTTTTTTGTTTTTAAGAATGAAATCAATAACTTCTTGGTGAGTAGGAACACCTTCTTCATCCTTGATATCTTTATCATCTTCATCGTCTTTATCATCATCTTCTTCTTTATCATCATCATTTTCTTTATAATTCTCTGATGAAGAATCATCATCTACTCTATTATTCTCCTGTGAAGAATTATCACTTCTAGAGGGACCTCTGGTGGTTTTGATCTGTATTAGTGAGTATTTACGCAAGATAAGAATAAGGTTTAAGGTAAGAAAAAGATTTATGAAGAAACACTATTCAGAATTATTGAATTATTAATATCTGTACTGACCTTTTTAGTACTGGTTGAAGAAACTGAACCAGTGTTATCATTATCTGTAGTTGATCTTAATGGGCGTTTTCTGATAACTTTCTGTAATAATGCATAATTAATTAATTAATTAATTGTTTTGATTTTTTTTTTTTTGATACTTTACCATTCCACTTATCATTACCAATTTTGTATTAACCTTTCAAATGTAAGCTTGAAGTGTTAAGAAAACTAACCTCAGTTGATTCGCATTTATCCCAAAATGCTTCAACCTCTTTAAAGGTATTTCGATGATTCTTATAAAATTAGTGAAGTAATTTAATATAACAGATATAAAAATCATTCTATGACCACAAACAACAAAAAGTTAGTCCAGAGAGTTTGATCCCCAAACTTTAGAAAAAACAATAAAAAAGACTTACATTAAACAAGTGTCCAAGCGAAACAGCTCTCTTTTTAACTTCTTCTGTACCATGTCTCGCCAGAGCGTCTAGACTTTTACGGAGTATGTCAGCCTCTTTTTGAAAAGAATGTGTGAAATCGGTTCGCTTTTGGCGGTGTTTATAAAAGCCTAAAAAACTGTAATTCCCAGGTAACGTTTCTTCGAAGTATGCATCCCACATTGTAAAAAAAAAATTGTAAAAGAGTAATATTGAATGAAATGATCAAATGATTTTTATTACGCGTCATATTAAAGAATTTATTTAATTTATTTCCAGATTGCAGATCTGATTAAATAAAATAAATTATGTAATAAATCTTAATTTTATTTTTTGAATAGTTTTCTATTTGTGAAATTTCATAATTAATAACAATAATAAAATATATTTATTTTTGTATCAAAGATGTAAGCTTTTATTTTTAGCATCATTATATTGAGGTTTAAGGTATACCTTCATTTAACATTGACAGTGTTCTTGGCACGTGTCACAACTATCGCAACTTATTGGCTCATAACATACTTTACAGCCTTGATTAATAAATTAATTAATAAAAAAAAGTTAGTTATTATCAATGAAATATAATTTTTAGCAGTTCAGATTTTTATTGAATCTCAATTTTATAATGATTTTAAGACTTACTCATCTTAATAGATATACCTTCTCTGACCTTATAATAATAAAATTTACTTACATTGACAGTGTTCTTCGCACGCGTCACATATATTGCAACTTACTCGCTCATCACATTTTTTACAGCCTTGATTAAATAAAAAGGTTAATAAAATATAATCAGTTCCAATTTTATTGAATCAATTTTATAATGACTCTGAGCTTTAATAGATGATTCAAAATGTACCTTCTCTAACATAAAATAAAATTTTTACTTACATTGACAGTGTTCGTGGCACCTGTCACAACTATCACAACTTTTTCGCTTATAACATTCTATACACACTTGATTAATAAATTAATAAATAGAAAGTTAATTATTAGCAATGAAATATAATTTTTACAGTTCAACTTTTATTGAATCTAAATTTTATAATGACTGAGACTTACTCATCTTTATAATTGATTTTGAAATAAAAAAAAATTATCTTCAAATAAGTAGTATTTTTTTTTTTATTTATATACATTGATTCCAACTATTTTTGGAAACAATAAATAGTATCTTTATTGATTCTGATCATTTTTGAAAATATATTGTCAAAGAAAATAATGTCAACTTTTTATCTTTATAAATGTATACATTCAATATACAATGGATATAAACTATTTTTTATTTAACTGCTGTTATCTAGATTATTAAAAATATAGTAATTAATTTGGACTATAGTGATTTTATAATTTAAGTAACATATATACTCTAAATTTTGTAATATAATAAATTGTTAATGTATTACTGTAAAAAAGATATATTCTTTATATTAGTGTTAGAATTCTCCAGTATATCAATTTTTATTATATTCTAGTTTACCTAATATCAATATGTGATAGAAATATCAAAGTAAATTTATTTACTTCCATTTATAATCTTAAAATAAGATCAAAAGCTCTAATTCACAAATTAATCCTAATGCCTTAACTGGAAATAATATAATTATATTATTTCCAGTTAGTCTAGGTTATACTTGCACACAAAATTATTTTGAAGTTCTGAAATTGCAATTTTAGAAAAAAAAGTCAAAATAGTTTTTCATAGAAAACAAAATTATTTTACTTAAAACCCAAAATTTTTTGACTATCCAGATTTATTCTTTGATTGAATATACACATAACTAGGTACTTTTTTTACTTCTATATATAGAAAAGATTCTACATAAATCTCAAAAAATCGAAATACCTCAAAAATTCAAAATCAATTTTGAAAACATGTATAATCTAAATTATGTCAGATCAGGTGATGACAACAGGATCATATAAGTGTTATCATTTGAGTAATGATGATTTTATGAGTTTGTTATTACACTTGAATATTTATGACCTATAAAAAATATGATAACAAATTTGTATTTACATCATCATACTTAGGTACCCCATGATCTAGCTTGTATATTAACTTAATGCTTTCAATTGATTTCCTTTATAAGAGAGTAATGAGTTAGATTATGATGAGAACTATAAGTAATGATAGATTTATGAGTTTATTGTCAGATCACATGATGATCAAGTATAGGTGATGAGCCGATTGCATTCTATATATCATTTTCAAAATAAATAGTCAGAGTATATGATATTGAATATATTACTTACACATTATCAAATATATTATGAACATGTTATCAGGTATATTGTAAATATGTTATTGGATATATTATATACATGCAGTGTTGTCAAATTCACATGTTCCCAACTTTTTTAACTGTTCCTACCCTTAACCAACCTATAAATAGATACTAAAACTTTATAAATATATATAAAAATCAATTTCAAACAATTTTAATTAATAGTTCAAAATAAATTTTTAAGTAAAATTTTGTGAATTTATATTTTAAAAAAAATAAGTTTTGTCCTAACATTGTTCTGAAGGTGTTCCTTGACAATACTACATATATGTTATTAGACATATTACATATATACTATCAGTTAGATATATATTCTATATCGTATAATTATTATTAGTATAAAATTGTTTTATTTTATTCCTAATTGATCCTAGTAGTAAGATATATGTTATTTACCTTCACAGGTCAAAATTCAAATATCGGACATTTATCAGGCACCTATCAGACACCTATCGGAGAAGAATAAACATATCGGGTACCCGATATGATTGATTATTACTAAGTACCCAATAATTTAATTTTGTAAATTTTATCATGCGCCCGATATAATAGTAATAGGTGTGAGATAATTTTATTATTATCTCAGGTCCCCGATATTGTCTTGAATATCGGGTGC